AGTTTTCTCAACATGCATCAATTTTAAAATAAATCCGTTTATTGTCATTTCAGAGAGAATATTTCGTCAAAAGCCATATATAACAACTATGAACTTCGGCGCTTTGTTCGTGAGGAATCTGTCGACATTCCTATTATTTTGGAGGCAGACATCGAAGATCGAAGTAAGGGTGACGGGCTATCGAAAGGCATCGCCCTTCTTCAGCTGGTCTGGTTCATTATCCAACTCTTCGACCGTTTCGCCAAGAACATTCCGACAACATTGCCTGAAATCGACACTCTGGCTATAGCTGTTCTGTCGGACTTGCATCGCATATGGCTTGTGGTGGAAGAAGCCTAAGGATGTAGGACGTCCTTATGCTGGTCATTGGAAGGCGACAGAATCGCCAACTGGCTTAACCAATGAGTATGTCATCAATATTCTTGCCTGAAATTATTCTGATTCGTCTGCATTCTAGCAAGGCAGAACCCTCCTCTGGACTTGTCTCCGATAATCTTCACGGTCTTATGGGCTGTCGGGTCTTAATTTCCGAAGAGGCAGCTCGATCTCGTCGTGTTCCATCTGTTGGTGGCTATCATGATGGCGAGCCCCGCATTGTGATCACACTTCTCATCGGATGTTCCTGTGGGATCCTGTTTGGAGGGTTACTTTATCTTGACTGGCATTACACATCTCCATTCGCGGTGGGTTGGCGCATGTATATGGTTATGATGTCATGTATGCCAGTCATCTTTCTTCTTGCTGTGGGGTATGGCTTGTGGCTGGGTGAACATAGTTTCGGTCGTAGGTTGCTGTTCGGCCTTGGGGGAGTCAGCTTCCGAGTATATCTTTTTCTACGGGTCATGGTAATTTTGTTCATCATGCTTAACTTTATGGTGGATGTTTGGTTACAGTTCGACTTCCCGAGATGCCGCGCGGATTTTCAATGTCCGATTGCTGTTTGGTTTCAGTAATATTGTTTCTTCGTGTATATCCCTAGTTATATTCTACAAGCGAACCGCTCGCCTGCGGACGGACGGACTTTGCGTTCACTTTACTACAATAGTAACGAAGCATAAATAACATTCGCAGTCTCTCTCTCCTCATTTGCCTCTGACCACAACGTCCGAATATCCCGTCGATGTCGTACTCTCGACAGCGCGGTGTATAATTGACCGTGCGCAAAGCCATCTGTCCGTACGTCGACAACGGCGCGTTGCAGCGTGAGACCTTGTGACCCATTGAAAGTGGTTGCGTATGCAGGACGGAGTGGAAATTGTTTGCGATTCACAGTCCAACTCGATCGAGCAGGATTGAATGAGAAAGTGATGCGAGGCAGACAGTGAATCTCGCCCGTCGCTGGAATCTGCACTTCGACAAAGCGGTTGTGCAGCGCAGTGATTCGCACGCGCACATTTCGTACCAATCCTTTGTCCACCGACATGTTGCGTTGCACTGCGCATATCGCGTGAAGCAGCGGCACGTAGTCTCCCACTTCGATTTGACTTGCCTCGTCAAATATCACGGTTTGTACCGGGACAAGACGAGTAATAGTATTGATATTGGGATTGGACAGCGTGCTCAACGTGCAAAGTATGACTCTTGTGTCAAGCAAAAGTCGACTGATTTCGACGACCGAGCCACCAAATTGGTCGGATCATATAAAACAATGTTCCAGTCTCTCCTAGAGGTCTTCGTGCCTGCAATATGAAAACAAAACTCAGTGTGACGGAGGTGTAAGGAAGGCGCGACATACCAGTCATAATGGAAGTCCTTGGATACAAGAAGCTTGAAATCACGGGAGCCAACCTTGTCAAGATTGTCCGCTTATCTCTAACCATCGTTTCGATTTGGATGACCTGTAAGTGTGAACGTTCAGAGTTGGTGGCATACCGTCTCATAAATTCACATACTTGGTCGCTATATCTAGACTTCATGATACGGGTACTGAAGCAAGTGCACTCGAGGTTGACATCACCCTTCTTGTGGTTGAAGTCTGCTTTGACATGGTTGACGACTTTTGTTGGCTTCATAGAATCCAAAATTTCAGCGTCGCGAGAGATCTTTGCCAGGGTGCTCAGATGCTACATTATGGATTAGAGGGCGGCGTCCATAACGTGATGAAGATTACATACAACATCTGGCATTGTGTCTGTGGCGATTCGAGATAGGGCAGCATATCTAAGCGTAATGCCTGGAAATACATATTTAGTGTATTACTCTGAGATTGCGCGAGTGATTGCCTACCATTTCAATAAAACCTGTGGTAGGCATGATGGGCTCGCCTTGGATCACATGTTGAGCCAGGTAAGGGTGCGTCTGCGAGTTGATACAAAGCGGAGAGTAATTCAACGGCCCGTTGCGAGGCTGACGAATTCTCTGCCTAGAAGAAGAATTTGGGTACAGGAAGAGCTTCTTGTGGGAAAAGGGGTAGGCGGGTAGTTTTGGGACGTCTGCTGCGGTGCATCCATTGAGAACATTGAAGTCGATGCAGCAATGTCCAGCAACCGCCAGCTTCCCCAATGCTTCGAGAAAAGAAACCACTTCCCCTTGATTGCCCTTAGGTCTCCGCAGAGGACAGACGACGGTGGCTGTCTCGCCCCCGAGAGTGACCAGATAACCGGCGAGAGCTGGGTGAGGTCCTATTTCCAAAAAGCTCGGAGTACCGATGTCGTGAATCATACGCTGGATTGATCCTGTGAACTGCGCTGGGCCACGCGTGGTGGACCAGTAATATTCTGCGCTGAATCGGTCGTGTTTCAGCATACCGCGTTCGGTGGAATATGTTGGGATTTTAGGAGGCTGCGAGGCATAGCGATCGAATACTTATGTCTGCCACTAGGCGCATAAACTCGTCACGACAAGCGTCCATTAGTCTGGAATGCACAGGGATGGTGGTATTTAAGCCATATGGTTGATCGGTGACTTGTACTAGCAGTATCTGCAAGCACTGATGCGGACGTTTGATCCCTTTAAGATATGAGCCGACTTATCTAACACGTGTCATGAATAACTGAGGGAAGACGAACACAGAATATATATGCAAGGTATACACTGGTATACATCGAATAAAATCGAATAAATGAAATGAATGGTAATACTCGAAGCAAACACTGATCGGACATTGAAAATCCGTGCGGCATCTCGGGAAGTCGAACTGTAACCAAACATCCACCATATAACTTATTCTTATCACCAGTGCCTCCTGGTGTATACGATACGGTAACTTGGACCGAGTTTATTCCGCACTTCTAGTATCATCGCATCACTGTAACGGAACATGTTCTTAGGCGGCGCCCGCCGCTGACTCGTCTAGAGTCTAGAAGACGTGAGACTTGGGACAATGCGTACGATGGGAGATGGAATTGGAGGCACAATGACTCTAACTCTACAATACCACATCTCATAGCAGCACCAGATGGTCCTGTCATAATTGCAGCTAATCGCTAATTCGTTTATGAACAAGAGCTGCTCATGAAAATGAATGAGCCACCGGTTCTTGAAGCGGCAGCGAAGAGTGCGAGACGAGTATGGTGTTAAAGGAATTGTCTAGTTCATATTTGGACAGCACCCCTTAACGCCATCGCCGTCGTCATTCATCCAGTCAAGTTGTTATGACATACGCTCTATCGATCAATGCAGGGTGAAAAGAAAGTAGTAAGATTGATACGTACGTGATCCAATTTTCACCGTTCGAAACGCCAAACGCAAAGAGTCGTCGCTGGGGAGACCAAAAGGAAAGAGACAAACTGGTTCGTTTCATACCCGTCTAATGTAACCGAGGTCGTAGCGTCATCAAGTAAGTAACGAATTTTCTGGATGGGCGTCAAGACCGGAGAGAAGGCTACTGTAGGGTGAGTTCGCTAGGACAGGAGGACTGAACAACAAACTCAATATTCTCCAAAGACTCGATATACAGGTCCACATCCGGTGAATACGATGGCAGATGTGAAGCACCAGGTAATGATCGCACCAAAGCAACATGGATTCAGCGGTCCTGTATATAAAGATATACAGAAGACAGACTGACAGACAAGGTTAGCTTGGCGTGTTGTTCCGCGTGGTGCTTGTGAGCTGGGTAACTGAAGTAAACGTCTCTTCCAAAACGGTATGGACTGTATGATGCCCACGAGAACACAGTTTCGCATGGATGACACTTGCGCCAACGGTCTGTGGACACGAAGTAAGTTGGATGAGGATGTGGGTTAAAAAGTAAGAGATAAGGTACGTCGATAACCGATGCGACGCGGGTTTATATGATGAACAGCAATAAACAGACCAAACGCAGACAAACATGGAGGATCAGGAGGTGTCCAATCGACGCACGTGAAGGGGGAGTCGCATTTGGCCATCCTTTCACCACCATCATATAGTCGAACGTTGTAAAGACAAGGTCTCGCTCTGTCGTGTGCGCAATTGATAATTCCAGGATTCGAATGAACGAGTCGAGTTGGGGCTGGCGGTATCTGAGTGTGCGCAGTGAGACTAGAAGATGAGAGATGGTATTGGGGAGGTGTTTTATGTCAATGCAACAAACATTTTCTCCAATACCACATATCATTACAGCACTGGATGAACCGTGCGCCACCAACGCCGGACACCATGGGCTACATATCAAGAACGGAGAGCCATGTCATTTCTAAAGTTTCCGACATGGGACAGCTGTCCGGTTCTCCATCTGAGGAAGGACCAATTTTTCTGGATGGGAGTTTCGGTTTCTTGATACAGCAGGATGAGAGCGTTCCTGCATGGTGCCCTCCCCTCTGTAAGTCAACCGGACTACTAAAGTGACTCACCTCGGAACCAAGTTCGAAACCCACGCACGTGATAACCCTTGGTATAAGTCGCCGCACATCGATCAAAGTTGGGCCATGGCGTTGACAGGTGCCCTACTCCCGCTAGCAATCGCAGGCTTAGTAATACTCGATGAGCTATCGAAATGTCAGCGAAAATTCACGCTACCTGTGTGTAGCCGTGCAATGAGTTTCATACTGGTTTGGTGAATTTTCGCGTGATGGTCAGCGGTACGCTGATGGTGAAAGCGAGACTTAGTGTAGACTAAGTGTGAGTGATTTAGTGGAGACTAAATGATATAGATTTAGTGGAGACTAAATGCTATTTTCGCCAGTTGGGGTGGGGGTTTTGGGCCGTGGTCTGGACCGGCTTTTGCCGGGCAGCAGACAAAAACATCCGCTGAGTCGATCAGCAAACACGTGCGAAAAGAAGCAACCGGAGGATGAGACACGGGCCGAAAACCTCGAGTGTGAAGCGGTAGTTTTGGGAGGTTTTTGAGACACGACACAACCCGGAACGAGCGAGTGCTTACACACTGTCGTGGCCGAAAACCCGACCCCCAACTTACGAAGACTAGCGAGTGAGAAACGTGTGATGCAATTTGAAAATGGATGGTGAGTGCTAACGATATCTACGTTCGTATGAGTCCATTGAGGCTCTGACTAGGGAAACGCGTGAATCATGAAGAGAACCGGTGACAAAAGTGGGAATGATTGAATCTATGCGACGCCAATAGTCCATGAACGACCTTGACTTCCAACGGCCTTGAGCAGCGACGATGTCTGGTGGTGTTCCTCGAAGAAGCAATTCTGTCGCTCCCCCGATGCGGAAGCAATGGCCAGTGAGTGTATCTAACCCTGCAGACTTCCATACATCGTTGCACCTTGTAATGAACCAAGGGCGAGTGAGAGGAGCCCAACCAGTATCAGTCTCGAACGCAAAGAGAGGAGCGGAATCATCGACAGCTGAGTTCGCTGACATGTGGTGCACGAGTGCGTCGTAAGGGTTCGTTGGATCATCGATGCGCGAGATTGAGATTGTGTCACCGTCGCTGTGAGTTGTCTTGGACCACGGGATGTGTAAGGAGGCGTATTTCGCCCCATCATCTGTCACGCGATGGGTGATTGGAGACGAACGGGAGACGTGATGCGTGGGATCGAAGGAGTTGAGCGATGGTAGCACGAGCTCGCCGAGTCTGCGAGTCTGTTAGTTTACGCGTGATTAGATATGTCAAAAGGTAGCTAGTACCTGCAGCAAGACCAGAACGCGACACTGGCTGTGCAATAAACGGCTGCGTCGAACGAGTTTGAAAGATCAAGAAGGCGAAAAAGGGTGTGCATGTGTTTCAAGGTAACGGGTGGACGGCGTGGGCGTTTTGATGAGTCAGGGACCAGCTTGGTGAGGCCCTGTTTTGCTCTACGAAGGAGAGCGTGTCCGTGCCAGGGTGCCCCGTTCAACTGGTGCCAGAAATGCAACCCAGCCAACCAATTGTCGGCGGTAGTTTCAGCGACTCGGCCTGCCCAAGAAGAGATGAAAGCTGCGAGTATATGTTCTGATGCCGGTAAGCGGCGGTCTTCTGGTACGGAAATCGAGTCACAAAACTGGTGGTACCTCAATAGGCCTGCACCGTAATTTTCCCGCGTCTTGGGTTCGACGGAGACTAAGAGTACGTCTAATAAACGAGAAGCTGTGCTAAGGGGAAGGTCATGAAGAAGAGATGCATGGAAGGAGTCGGTGTGAGGCGCGGACCAGAGATGGACTCTGTCGCGTGCAAGAACGTGTGGACGATAATGGGAATGGGCGATGGTATTTGCTGGTTTCGGCTTACGAGGCTTGGGGTTCTTGTGAATGTCCATGGGCGGCGCTCCAAGTGTGGGCTGTCTCTTCAAGACCTCCCGCAATTGGACCATGGCCAACACTACATCAGCACCTGCTGACGACGACGTGAGTGCGTCAGACATGAGGCGTGATGTAGGGCACCAGCTCGTCAGGCAGCTGGAAGGAGGGGAGACGAGTGCTTGCTGGGCCTGTCTCGCCACGAGAGACAGGGTCCGCCTTGTTAGCTAGCGACTCGGTGTAAAATAAATGGTGTACCATGTTGGAGTCCATGGCGATGGCTTCCACGCGCCTAATGCATAGGTTTACCTGGAAGTTTCGGCTGCGGCCGTGTCTGAAGGCGCCGATCACGCCTTGATTGTCTGAGTAGATCAATACAGAACGGTCTCTCCAGCCAGCGGCTTGCAACGTCATGACAGCCAGCTCCACGGCTATGGCTTCGAGCCAGCCGATGTCTCTGCCTTCTCTCTTCCATCCATTGATGGTCCGCCATGCGTTCCATTGTTTTCCCAGCGTGAGTCCGATCCCCCAGTCCGTTGAAGCGTCGACCCAAAGGTCAACGTCTTGGGGAGGACCTCTCAGCGTGAGTAAACGTGGTGGGTGAGCGAAGCTGAGAGCGTGGCGCCACCATTTGAGGTCGCTAACCACGGAAGGGGGGGGCTTGCGCCGTGCGAAGCGAGTTGCGAACGGGAATGATGAAGTGAAGCGTGATAGGTTGGCCAGGAAGGCCCTGCCGTGTGGTAGTACGAATGCGACGTGAGAAAGGGTGCCGTGAATACTTAGGGCGTCTTTGTGAGACATGAAGGGGGACTTAGAAAGGTTAAGCAGGATCGCGTCGAGTTTGGCTAGATATTTCAGGCGTTTTGCCTCTGGGAGGGAGACCGAGCGTTGCACGAGATCCCACAGGAAACCTAAGTATGTGAATATGGTAGCGAAGTCGGTGCACTTGTCGGGGTGCCATGGGATGCCTAAAGGGCGCGTTGCGGAGAAGATACTGAGCAAGTCGAACAGGTACTCGTAGGACGAGAAGGAACCGTCGGGGCCGAGAACGCCTCCCGCAACCGGGAACCTGAACATTGCGTGGTCGTCGACCCACTTCTTGATGGGTGAGATGTCCATGGCGTGTAGGATGTCGACGGTCGCGTCAGCGATGTTGCCTTGTACACCACCGGCAGTGGTAAGACCGAAGGGAAAATTGTGATCAATCCAGAACGAACCGTCAAATCCAACCACCAAGAATCTCTTGTGTGGTGGCCAAACCGGTACAGTGCGGTATGCTGCTTCAATATCGAGTGTGGCCGCTTGTGTGCCCAAAGGTGCGGTGGCAACCTGAGTGGTCGATCAGCTACGGTTC